CTTTTACAGTTGCCCTTAATTTGAAGCCGTTTGCAAGAGTTGCTCAGCGCCCAAGTGTGTGGGTTTGTGAGGCTCTCCAAAGATACCCAAAGTTTTTCTTGCACTGTAGGTGCCCACCGCCAAATATCCCCTTTTAATTTTTTAGTATGATGCAAAGCTCCCTTATAAAAGTGAATAATTGCCACTCGTACCAACTTACTGACACCTAACACTGATCTCAACCTGGATGGTGTGAGAGTGTGCTTGCACACGGTAACAGCAAGCACAGATGTCAGAGAACAAGACAATAACAAGACCTTGTCCCTGTTTGTCTGTAGGATTTTTGACAGTTTTGCACTTGGGGTCATTTGGCAGAGAGGCAGGATCAGGCTTTGGGACCTCTCATTGATCGTGTCAATGACTCCATGGAAAAGGAAAAGCAAAAACAATATAAGGCTTCCCGCCAAAGTCGGCAAGCTCACATCAGCCAGCGAGGGAAAGACTTTGTGTGTAGCGGTGTGACTGTGTGAATACTTAATTAGTCCAACATGTGACTCGTCCTGCCTCTCACAGCACCGCATGTCCGTGACTGACAGCACAACCAAATCTTGAGGTGACCAAGAGCAGGGGAGGTCAAAATTGAGGGAGGGGGGAAGAAGAGGAAGCAAAGGGGGAGCTTCAGTGTGTCCACATGTCTCACGCGATCTGGAATCACCATCGCACGTCACGTGACTCTTGCTTCCATTCAGCTTGTCCTGCGTCACCTTGTAAGAATGCAACTTATCCACCAACTTGCAAGCAAAACTGTGTGATAATTTGATACTGATAAAAATCTGCTGTCATGACAGTGAAGGACAAAATGATGGGCTTAACTTTCAAAGTGAAAATTTATATGGGACCACAGCTGAACAGCAGAATCTGCCTGTCAGTCACAGTAAAGCACTGAGTCTCCTGGGCTCTTGAAGAGGAAGTTTATCTTCATAAAGATTTTCCATCACATTACAGAAAATTACAGCATTTGTATTATGCTGTAGCACGTCTTTGTGCTTCTTGCAGCTACTCTACTCTTCACATGTTTGTTTGATTAGCCATTTTTTGCATACCAGCACTGGCTTCCAAGTCAGATAACAGTATTAAAGATGTGTATGAGTTACAGTACAATAACCTCCCCTTGTGAATTAACCACTTGTTCTTATGAAGCTTCCCTGATTAAATATGACCTGAAACCAAGAATACAATGAGAAACAAGTCCCAAAAATTTCCTGGACATTCCAGTGCTCCAGCTCCGAAGTCTGCTCTCCTCGCGTCTGCCGTCAGTTACAGTGGATCTCTGCCATGGAATTCTTTGCTCTCTTAAATTAAACCCTTCACCAGACCCAGCTGGTTCACAAAGCAGAGAGCGAGAGAGAATGAGAGGGGAGAAAGGGGGAGGAAAATGGAGGGGATGGAAAGGAGCGAGCAAATATTTCTCTCGCTTCTCATGTTTGGCTTTCTCCATTTGCTGCTATTAACACCTCATGTCTGGTCTGCACAAGCCCTTAGACACCAACTGGAGAGGAAAGAGTGAGAGGAAAGAGACAAGGATGGTTAAACTGACAGAGGAACGGTAACAGAAAAAGACTGTGCGCCGAAAATATTGTTTTGATTAATGTCTCTTGTATTCCTCTGGTCCCGAAACAGAGAATTACCTTACCTAACCCCAACGGAGAATGAGCAAGACGTTTCAGTGCAGAGATTGAAACCAGATATTTCTGTTCACACTGGCTCACATCCATCACTTGTTCTGGACTTGTGTTTGAGAACATGACTGGTGACTGAAAGTACTAGCCACACTGTCTGGCCAGTTTTAATCCAGCGTAAGTCTTCGGTTTAAATAGCTATCTGCAGGAGGCATGGCTGCCTGTCCTTCGTCACGTTTTCATTCCATTGAAAAACAAGATTCCCTCTTCTTTGCCGGAGAAGCTTTAAACTCATGTACCCACAGTGAAATCATTCTTAAACAAGCGACGGCAAATTAATCACCCACCATTGCTAGGCAATGCTCAATTATTCATAACCGCAGCACAGCAGATTTCACCTCAACAACCTGTTTGTGCACTTGCCACTTCACAGCTCAGAGCCAGGGGTCTTTTCTCAATGGAAACTGGCTGGCAAACAGTGTTTCTGTCACATTTCTTTTTTTCAAGGTATCTAAATGGAGGAAACTTTGATGCACTGCTGCGCCGCATCACTTACCTTCCAGTTTACTTGGCCCCTAGTCCTCCCTCCTGTGTAGTATTGGGTTTCTGTGCCGTTTAGAGCACAGGCCTTCTTTGGGTTCTTTTGTCTAAGGTCCAAATGCAATTGGGGTTTCAAGTGTTCTCTCGAGCTTTTTATTACGACTCGAGAGTCACTGAGAAAATTCAGAGCTGTATTAATGTACAGAAGTCCTTCAGCTTGACAGTAATCAGCCAAATATTTGGAGCGGCACCAAAGAAAAATGATGATTTGATATCAGGGTAACGGTGCAGGCTTTCCAAGTGTGCAGACCATGACAGCAAACAGCAATGGTGTGGACTCCCACTAATGCGTGAGCTAAGTCGGGTCTATTTGTGTGAGCTGACGTGCTGTAATAGTAGTAGTCCAACAAAAGCCTGCTTGTTTGGACTCACAAGATGGTGTAAATATAGCTAAACAGAGGGCTTTTGTACAAAACTCAACCCTCCATCTCCCAAAGACACAATCAGTGGATGAATGCCAAACTGCCAAAAGTCCAGATTTTGTTAGCGTGTCCTCTCTCTTTGAGCTCAAACATACACAACCTCCAGGGTAGCTTTTTTAAAACTGTAAAGCATTGTATTTTCCTACGCTCCAGTGATGTCAGAATTACAGAAAACGAAGCGTTTCTTCTTTTCTTTCTTCTCTAAACTTTGCCTCTGCCCAAGGCCTGCACTCATACCCTCTCGCTCACACACACACACACACACACACACACACACACACACTCACACACACACACACACACACACACACACACACACACACACACACTCAGAAGTATTCTGTGTGTCTGGATTGTGTCTCATGATCTCAATCAGACAGTTGAGCTCAACCTGGCAGATGCTGGACAACCTTTAAAACCGCTGCCAGGTTGGGCTGTGCATGTGCGAGCACAGGTGGGCCAGATGATGGATGAATAAGCTAAAAACCTTCAGGGTCCTACCTGTCTTCACTCTTTTCAAGTCTTTGGTCCCCACTAACATGCAAAAGCCTCCTCTTGCTGTAATCTCACACCTACAAACATGCCTCAGATTGGCCAGTGAGACAGTCCAGTGCGCTTAGTGTAAAGGAACACATCAAACCAGACCTGTAACGCTTCCATTTTTATGCCAGTTCTTTAACATTTCTGGTGTGCATTGCTTACTGATAAGCTCGAGACAAATAATTCCTCGTGTCAGCCGAAGACACATTGGGAAAAGGAAAGCCCAGGATCAGAGAGATTTATATAAGAATTGATTACTTCGAGGTGTGGCTGGGGATGGTTGAGCAATCGAGGGGAATCAAGCTGAAAGCGTTGAAGGAGATGAATTATCACAAGGACGCTCAGCTTAGCCTTTGGACTCATATTGCATGCTAAGTCTAGTTGCCAAACCCTTTGCAAGGCCGATGCCCACATTTGTTTTGACTCAGTCATGAAACTTTACTCTCCATCTTCCCCTCTGTCTCTCGCCGCACATTTCCCACCCTTTGTCAGTATCATTACCTGCACCCCGCGGCTTGCTGGACTGACACCAGACCTCCCGCCCTCCACTCCGAATCTCGCCTTCTCTCCCCCCTCACTCAGCTCATTTCCCATGCTTACTCGTTCTCACCCCGAGATTATTTTTTGGCATACAAGCGTTGATGAAAATAAATTCCTTGGTCGACTAGCCCATTGGCAGCATACAAATTTCTTCTGGTTTCGAAAACAGTCATTACTCCGACCTGTTTGTCTCTGATAAAAGAATTTGGTTAACTCACAGCTTCTTTTAATTCAACTCTGTGAAATACAGCTCTGACATTAATGTTCCTAACATGTTTTAAAACATCCATTCCCATATGTTAACGCCAAGTAATAGGCATTTATCACTGGCAGTTGTCTGGAGATACTTAAGTTCAACATAATGCATCTAGATGTGAATAAAATTACACCATCTTGAGGGTTTTTTTTCTTCTTCTTCTTTCTGTTTAAATTATAGCATGTTTTGTATCTTAAGAAATCGAACATATAAAGTTAAGCAGGGATTTTATAATCTATTAAATTACCTTTTTTCCCAATGATTTAAAGCCACTAAATTCAAGCAATCTAAACCTTTGTCTGACTGTACTTTCCAGTGTTGAATTTTCTAAATATGCTTTCTTAAGAGTCAGAGCTAAGGCAAAGCAGAATCTGTTTTCTGGAGCTTTTTTAATACTAATCTAGTCTCTTATGATCAATAGGCAGGTGGCGAGCATTTTTTCTTTTGCTCTTTCCCCACGTTCTTCTCACATTGTTTGTTCCTGTCTGCTCGCAGGGATGTGGCTTTATTCATGTGTCAAGTGAAGCCAAAAAGATTAGTTTGGGTATTTAGGGGCTCAAAAAGTGCAGACTGCTCCATCCAGTGTTTAGAATTAAACATAACCAGATAGGGAACCAATTTTTTTTATGGTATTTCTCTCATGCGTTTTAGCCAGTTGGGGTCAGCTTTATCCCATGTACCCAAAGTAAAATCCTTGGCTCTAAAAACATACACACAAGTGTTTTCAATCAGATTTAATTGGGCACACATGACATTATATCTTATGCCATGACATTTATTTTTTTTACTGTATGGTGCGCTGTACTCACAGGTCTTGGAAAATGTTTGAGTGATGGCTTATTTTTCTTTAGGAGTAACTACTGCTGGGTAAACCACATCTAACTCATTATAGCCACATTGAAAGAAAACTGTGTGCTTTTCTTTAATTTGTTATCATCTACACACTTCAGTCCGTTTGTGAACTGTCACTTTTTTATCATCCAGGATATGGAAATCTAGGAGGTGGCGGCCTGGGGCCTGGAGGCTATGGAGGAGGTGAGCTGAAACTAGAACAGCTATGTGTATGTTAAACACAGGGGCAAAAACTCACTAACCTTTAACCTCTTGTGTCGCTTAGGTGGCTACGGGGGCTACTATCCGGGAGCTGGATCAAAGGCTGCTAAAAGCGGTAAAATGCAGGGCAGAAAATGTCTTGGTAGAAATGTAACATCGGCGGCTAATAAAAAAGTGACGGCATCAGCGAACAATTTTTCCTTGATTTCTCATTAAGTGCAGTGGAAACTGGAGGTTCATCAGATATGATTATGGGATATTGGCTGTTGGAACGAGACACCGTTTATGTTTCAATTACTTGTTTTGATTACTGAAGCGATATTATGCTTCTTTTGAAATTCAGTCCTGATATCTGAGGTCTAAAAATGCCTCAGGACTTTAAGGTCTGAAGTAACTTCCAGGATTACAGTGAAACATTCCTGCAGAGGTGGAATGAGCTTGTCTGCCATGTGAAAGCTTGTTGTTAAACAGAAACATTGCCTCCCTCTTATGTTAAATCTGTTTTGGTTTGGATAATTGTAAACTGACATTATCGATGTCACTGTAATCTGTTAGGTTCTGTCCACTAAACAAAAAAACAACACACATTCACAGATGAGGCTCCTGCATGGATCTGAAGTGCATCTGAAATTCTGGTTGTCCTGCTCACAGGTGCAGGAGGCAAACTCACGTTTTGGCCCGTTGACAGACTACTGTACAGACCAGACTGACACTGACTGAAGCGTTTTGAACTCTGAAAGATCTGCATGCTCAGATGTTAGGAGAAAGCCAAAGTGAATGTTTCACATTAATGGTAACTCGGCATGGAAACACAGTTTGGCAAACATGCGTACATTTTTAGCATGTACTTGCAAACCTTAGACAGTGTGAACCTCAGCAGAGCCTGGCCTGACCTGAGAGTCTGTGCTGTATTCAGACACATGATTTGCCTTAAATTAGTACGGCTGATTAAAAATGAAGTCAAGAGGGCTCAATCATGGCCAAGACTTGACTATGGCACAGAGCCTACCATTAAGTATTGATTGGCAATGGCAAGAATCAGTCTGTATTGTTTTCATGACACTGAAAATAACAGGTCCTTCCTCTGAAAGAGCACAGATAAAACAAAACATTCCCTTGCCAGAGTTTGCCTCACCAGTTCCCCCAGAACGCATACTTACAGGCAGTGCGCAATGTCTGTCCAATAAAGTGTGTGGACTTTAAGATAAAAAAAAAAATTAACCAAATAAACCATTGTGTTTTATCCAGCTGCCAAGCTCCCTTGAAAGTGAAGCTGACAGCTCATTTCCTGCAGGAGGGGTTAGCCAGCGAAATGAGGCATTTGATGAAGTGAGGAAAATGCCATGCATGCTGGCTGCCGTTTCTGATTAAAGCAAAAGTCAAAAGCCATGTTGCTTTTGGTCACGGGGGTGATGATAAACTGCAAGGCCCAGATTAGCTGCTCTCATTACCGCTGACCAGCAAGCGGACCTGCCACAAGCCACAAAGCGACTCATTGCTCATCTTTAGTGGCACAGGGCCCTCTAGTGGTGTTGGGATGTACAACTGTACAGTGGTACAAAGAATCTTATTGGTGTCAAAGACTAACACTGAACTGAATGTGACTTCAAATGTATGTTTATGTCTGCATATGAACAGGGGTTGGAGGAGGAGGAGGTCCTGGAGTCACTGGAACTGGACCTGGACTGCCTGGTGGAGGCAAGGCACACACCTCATATCATTTTCCACCTTTTCTAATTTTTTTCATTTTATTTTAGCTCTGGTTTCTCGAGTAAAATTGAAAGCCAGTCTTACTTTTGTTAGGTACTCACTAGAATAGATTGTATATAGTACATTTTCTAATATATAATAGTAAGAAAGAAAGGAGTCATCTGTGTGAAGGGGCAGAAATCCCAGTTTGGCCAGGATGTGTGTGTTCTGGACACTGTGTCTTTTTCACACTCCTTTCTTTAAGCAAAATAATATTATGGCTTCTTTTCTTTATTTTTTTTCAGCACCTGTTATTCCTCAGACCGGCCTTCCTGGAGGTGGTGGCGCAGGAAAAAAAGCTGCCAAAGTGCCAGGTTTTGTAGACTCAACAATAAACTCAGAGTGAAGACAGACAGGATGCAGCCCACCAGGCAGTGCAGCCACATCAAAAATATTTCCCAACAAAACATATAAATCTGCAAAAAAAAAAACAGAAAAGCTTATATAGACAGTAGTGTGCAAAAGTCTTGCGTTACCACTTGTTTCTTTATATTTTGCTAATAAAATGTGAAACATACGCAGTAATTTTTTAAAACATGTCCAAACATACATGAAAATACAGGATATAGCGTAAAAACACAGAGATCTTGAAAGTCAGTTGTGGTATGTCCAGCTTTATACTTTGGCACAGCCTGAACTCTTAGTCAAAATTTCTTGTAATTTCTTGTAATTTAAAAGTAACCTTCAGAAATAGTTCTGAAGGACATTCAGAGCTCTCCTCTGGATGTTGGCTCGCTTTTGTTCCATTCTCTGTCAAGATGATTAATGTTAAATAATGTTGAGGTTTGGGCTCTGAGAAGCCAATCCATGACTGATAATACTTCATTATTTGTTTTTCTATTCACATATGCTTCTCCTGCCTTAGCAGTAATTTGGGGATCACTGTCATGAAGCCAAATGAAGCCATTCCCAGTCAGACATTTTCCAGATGGTATTGCACAGTGGATCAAAATCAGACTCTTCTGCTTTGATAATTTCATAAGGTTTAACAGGATTCCCAACCCCACTGGCTGAAAAGCAGCTCCAAACCTGTGTTCTCCTGACCTGAACCAAAAATGTCTTATTTTGAATTATCACTCCATATAAGACCAGCCCAGTTCTTGTGTAGTTTAGCATACGTCAGTCTTTTCTCAGTAAACATCATATCTCAAAAGACGTCACCAGACATGACTTCCAGTTGCTGTTCATCTGCTGTAGATAAAGTTTTAGGTCTGCTGGTTCTTTTTTTGTCTTCTTTGTCTTCCACTTGTCCAGTTTCGTCATTGTTTAAGGACACACTGCACACCATGCTGACACATGCCAAGTTTTCAGTTAGTAGCTCTTTGAGAATCACTTGGTTGCTGTAAAAACACAAGTTGTGTTGTCTTTAGAAATTTGTTTTTACAAATTTCATAGGTGATTAGGTGCTTTAAAAAACAAAAAAACATTCCTCTGAAAACAGTCAGGTGCAAGACATGAACTGAAAATGAAAGATGAAGAAGTATTCCCTGCTTTAAAAAAATAACAAGAAAGCGCCTTAGAAGCAAAATATCGTATAAAGACCTGATGGGAGGCTCAAGACTTTTGCACAGTGTTGTACATAAAAGCAAAGGATTATACTGAGTCTTGTCAAATGTCGCCTTAGATAACAGCAAATCAACATTCTTTCAAAAGAGAAGTCCCCTGATAATAAATGTAAAGGCATTTTTACATTGCTGAAATAAATATAGATGAAGGTGAGCTATCAGTGTATACAGTATAATTCATTTAGTTATAGAGGTGAATTCAATTTGTATCAACCAGGCAAAGGCTCAATGTGTAAGCCTTTTCCGCTTCCCATTTGGCTTCTTTTTCTTTTTGTGGTTTTCGGACATCTAAATGTTTACCGTCAACACTGCTGTTGATCCCTCACATATATTTAAACATGGGTGTCTTCTCATTGGCTGTGGCAGGTGTGGGTGTACCTGGCCTTTATCAAGGCGGACTGGTGCCTGGACAAGGTTTGACTCTTTCATATATTAATCTGGGGAACTTTTACTCCTTTGTTAGTTTCACCATGCAGACTGTCAGTCATTTAAAGACAACTGCAGGAATGTCTGGTTTCTTCTGTCATCTTCAGGGTTTGGTGGACGTGGAGTTCTGCCTGGAGTGCCCACTGGGTCTCAACTCAATCCCAAATCAAGTAAGTTCAAGTTTTTACTGATGGGTGTCAGCTGATTTATTTTCAGTTTTATTTCATTGCCAGTGAATCCCAAAAATAGTAAATACCAGCTCTACAAAGGCTTACACTACTGACAATCCTTCACAGACAATATTTGTAGAGTTCCCAGTGTAAGACATACTAAACAAATGTAGATGAATAAGTAAAAGTGCTGGTGTGGGTCCAGAGAGTAATGCCGTAGCACTGTGATGCATGGTTCCAGTGTGCTTTGCTTCGTCACTGCAAAAATCTTCATGTGTCTCACTGGAATATCTCATTTTTCTTATGTAGTTGCAGGAGGAGTAGGAGGAGGACAGCAAGGTAACTTTATCAATGATTGTTTGTTATTGTACAAGTAAATATTTCTGGGGGGGGTTTATCCACTCTGTCTGCTATTATCCAACCCAGATTTAAATGTTTTTCTTCTTCACAGGTGTCCGTGGGTATGGGGGACCAATGCAGCCAGGAGTGTTCCATGGATACCCCCTCAAATCACCCAAAGTGCAAGGTGTGACATGAAATTATTCAGTGTTTGCATTAATTCTTCTACAGGCATGTGGCATAATGTATAATTTTGTGGTTTAAACCCTGCTAATGTTAAATAACTTTAACATCAGCAGGATTATTATTATTATCATTTTGCAGACTACAGTCTTACTTATCTTATACTTAACTGTACTCTACGATTTTTCTGTGGCAGGTTTAGCACTGTGTTATTCTAATGAGAGAAGAGTGTATTTGGGGTCTCAGACAGATTGCTTTTGTTTTGTTCGTCTTTCTGAAACCGAACCTTTGTGTTCAGGAGCTCGAAAAAGTTGTTTCTGTTCATCTGGACGTAGCGTTTTCAGTTTGAGAAAGGCACTGGATGAGTGAAGAAACATTTCTCCCACTGAAAACACTACGATCAGGAGAAACAGAATCAACCTTTTGTGTTGATTGTGTTCACCTGAACGTAGCATTTGCATATGATGATGTGCGCACATATAAAATAATTCCAGCCTCTGTTTTTCACTCTCTCTCTTTAGGTGCCTATGGAGCAAAAACTGCAGGTGGAAAACTTACGTATGGTAAAAATACGTTTATTCTTTGAAGTTAACATCTTTGAAGTTTGGTTTCAGTGGAAATTCACCATTTAGTGATCGGCGTTGTATCCATGCATCAGGTTATGGCGGCTTTAATGTTGCACCTGGACTGCCAGGAGTGCAAGGTGGCCCTGGGTCAAAGCCAGGATATCCTGTTGGAACTGGTAAAAGTTTTCACAATTTGTTTCCCTACGAGATGTGGAGTAGAGATATAGAATTCACTTTTTTCCTTTTTTTGCAGGAGTGGGACTTGGGGTCATTTCACCTGGTCAGGGTAAAGTTGTTCAGTGTAGTAGTTTACCATACTGATTGAAGTAAATGCTTCCTGTAAAATCAGTATGTCTGCATGTAACTGGACTTTCTGCATTCTGCTCCATGTTTAGGTGGTACTGGAGGCTTTGGAGCTGGTGGTGGTGGCTTTGGTGGCACTGGTGGGCTGTATCCAGGCCAGGTGTCAGGAGGTACGATATCTAGCACTTGGCAAGAGAGAAAATTGCACACCAGCACACATGCAGAAAAAAGTCACACAGCTTTCAAATGAACTGTAAGATGATGGGAAAAGTAAAGATTTATTTGCAGGCCAATGAAATGGAAAAAATAATATTCGTGGGTTAGCTCCATATGATCATCTTTAACACTTTCATGCATGAATTATGACAACCTCAATCAGGGTTTTCTCTTAAATATTTGTATTCATCTTTAGGCATGAAAAAAAGATTTTTGAACTTAATTTTTTTAAAACATGTACTTTTCAAAGAGTTTGTTACATGTCGACTTAGGTGGACAACAGACATTTTGACTTATGAATTTGACACACGAATAAATAATACACACTGTGTAAAAACTATAAAAATGCATTTTTTTTATAAAAAGATGAGAAAAAAATATATATATATATAAAAATAATATGGACTGAGACATAAGTGTGCAAGTGTACCATCAACACTGACACAAATACAAGAAAACAGCCTTTGAATAGCTGTCCACTATAGTGACCACTATGCATGAAAGGGTTAACTAACTAGCACAAATATTTCACACCATACCTTACACCTTGTTTTATTTTGTGCTTTTTAAAATAAATAAATAAATGTTCTTCATTTACTCAACTTTTATCATATGACTCACTATCGTTATGTTGACGACAGGGTATGGAGCTGCTAAGGCTGCCAAATATGGTGAGAATGTTTGTTTTTCCTTATCTGGAAAAAACAAATACTTTTAATCATTTTTCATACTTTTTTCATGCATTTTTTCAGTAGAGTGAGAAAAATATAACTTAACTAATATAAAATTATTACATTACATGGAAAAATTATTTACATGGACAAATTACACATACGCTTTTGTCAGGAGTTCCAGGAGGTGTACCTGGGGGAGTACCAGGAGGTGTACCTGGGGGAGTACCAGGAGGTGCACCGATTGGAAGAATTCCAGCGGTTGGTGGATATTCACCAGCAGCAAAAGCTGCTAAATATGGTATGCTTTGTGGTATGTATTTGTGGAACTGTTACAAAGAAAACGAACTAACTAATGACATTTTCAGTGGAGTAACAGAAAAATTCTTCAAAAAAATTTCTGTCTCACTGACTTCTAAGACCATGATTTTCAATCTACAGGCAACATTTATCACCAAATTGAAGGAAAAAATGATGGCAAAATATTTGTGGGGTGGGACCTGGCTCAAGTAGAAACATGGAGACAAATAGGGACAAATGGAGGGGGGGTGGGAGAAAATAGATCAATGGAAAAATAGAAATAAGGGGACAAGCACAAATAGGAGAATACTATCCTTTTAGCAAAGCTGAAAGCTGCTAAATGTCGTATGCTTTATTAATTGAATTTTACTATTTATTTTGTGAACTTTTTAAACATTATATCAAACTGTAACCTGTAAATGCAAGTTTTTTTTAAAAGTGCATAATATTTTTTTCTATTCAAATTAGGCACAGGAGTACAAATAGGCACAGGAGGACAACTAGGAACAGGGCAACTAGGCACAGGGGGAGGATATTATCCTGCAAGCAAAGCTGCCAAATACGGTATTATTAATAATTGTTTTAATTTTTATTGTGAATTTTCTGACATCATGCCAAATTTGTAACTTCTAAAGGCACTTATATTTTGTCTATTTTTTTCTTTTCTTTTTTTCAATTTAACCGCATGTGGGACAGGGGGACAACTTGGAACGGGACAACTTGGAACAGGGCAACTAGGAACAGGAGGAGGATATAATCCTGCAAGCAAAGCTGCTAAATACGGTATTATTAATAATTGTGTTAATTTTTATTGTTAATTTTTTAACATCATGCCAAAAAATGTAAATTCTAAAGGTATTAAAAATGTGTCTTTTTTCAATTTAACTGCATGTGGGACAGGAGGGCAACTAGGAACAGGGCAACTAGGAACAGGACAACTAGGAACAGGACAACTAGGAACAGGCCAACTAGGAACAGGACAACTAGGAACAGGAGGGCAACTTGGAACAGGGGGAGGATATTATCCTGCAAGCAAAGCTGCCAAATACGGTATTATTAATAATTGTTTTAATTTTTATTGTGAATTTTCTGACATCATGCCAAATTTGTAACTTCTAAAGGCACTTATATTTTGTCTATTTTTTTCTTTTCTTTTTTTCAATTTAACCGCATGTGGGACAGGGGGACAACTTGGAACGGGACAACTAGGAACAGGACAACTAGGGGACAACTAGGAACAGGACAACTAGGAACAGGAGGGCAACTTGGAACAGGGGGAGGATATTATCCTGCAAGCAAAGCTGCTAAATACGGTATTATTAATAATTGTGTTAATTTTTATTGTTAATTTTTTAACATCATGCCAAAAAATGTAAATTCTAAAGGTATTAAAAATGTGTCTTTTTTCAATTTAACTGCATGTGGGACAGGAGGGCAACTAGGAACAGGCCAACTAGGAACAGGCCAACTAGGAACAGGACAACTAGGAACAGGACAACTAGGAACAGGAGGGCAACTTGGAACAGGAGGGCAACTTGGAACAGGAGGGCAACTTGGAACAGGAGGAGCATATTATGCTGCAAGCAAAGCTGCCAAATACGGTATGCTCTTAACTGTATTATTGTCTGCATGCTTTTAGCCCATCGGGTCGAAGGATTTCCATCGAGTTCTAGCAACAATGATTTTGCCGTTTCATGCACAGTTTTCTAGTGTCACACGAATCACTGGTCCTCCTACAGTATTGGTCAACGAAACAAGTTTGAATTGACTGTTTCTGAGCCTCCTTACTTCTCACTGGATTTTAATTCTCTTTGGTTTGTGCAGTATAGCCAACCAATGATAACAAAACTGACATCTTGGTTTAACATTATCTCAAGCAGTATTTTTTAAAAAAGCTACTTATGTCTTCAAAAGTAAATATTTTGTCTCTATTTAACCCCTTGGGCAACAACTCCATCAAATATTGCCAATTTAACTTCAATCTGAACAAAAAGGCAAATAAGAAAGCAAATAACAGCTATAAAATAACGAGTGACTGACAGAGATGTTACTGAACCACCTTTAAAAGTTCTCAAATACAACTCAGAAAATTCATGATTTACGATATTAAGTGAGAAAAAAATGTTAGTGACCAAGAGGCTGCGGTTGGAGGGAGTTTACCATTTAAGCCACTTTAAAAGTATTTTCCAGCTTCTGATGGCTGTTTGGAAACCTCAGACTCCACCACAGTCTGTTCCAAGTGATACATTTGGATTTGGGATTTTTTTAACCTCTTTGAAACTGAGACTTTATTTCCATTTTGGAAAAAGTTTCTTTAATTAATAATTAATTTTATATTTTTTAATTTAACAATGTTTATTTATCTTTAAGAATACAGTTTTATTCCACAACAAAAACATGTATTAGTAAGACTCTTTTCCGCTGGGAAGTGACATGGCGGTCCTGCCATTTCCTTCGGATCTTCTCCTCTCTCCGTTCACGTTTGACCTCATCTAGCATCTGCTCCTCTTCCTAGAAAAAAGACAGAAAGAAAAACACCTCCCTCGCCCAGCCTTGATTATTAATATGATCTAACAATTTGTCGTGGAAGTTTCCATTTAATAAAGCCTGCAGAGAAACAGTGAGCGGTGGCTGACAACCTTTAATCAAAAAAGAACAGAAATCCAGGCTTGGGGAGAGAAGCCATCCTCGCTGACGGTTGGCAGAGTCTCTCCCTGAAGCCAGCAGGGCCCTGAGTTTAAATACCATCATATCATTTAAATAAATGAAAAAAAGAAAAACAATTCCAGACCAAATAATTATATTTTTCCTTAAAGGTCAAGGTGGTGGAGGGTTTATTCCAGGTGTTCGTGGAGGTGGTGGAGGAGGAGGAGGAGGAGGATTTTTACCAGGATATGGATGTAAGCATGCCACGTGGACATAATATTTTTAGATATTTCAAGGATTCAATTATATTTTTCAATCTTATTCACGTTGTCCTGATAATCTTACCTTTTGTCCTTACTTTGGTGCAGCTTTGGCAGCCAAACCTCCTAAATATGGTGAGACTTTGATATTCACAGTTTGGTACCTCATAATATTTGCCAAACGTATTCCACCTGTACAAGTCTATCAACATATTAATACATAAATCCAGTGATACAGTTTTGGTTAAAGGTTGTGCCTTTAATGCAATATTGGATTTAATTTGGTTTGTTAAAGCTGTGCTGACACATTTTATAGGAGTGCCAGGAGCAGGCCTAGGAGGAGGGGTTGTCCCAGGAGGAGGAGGGGTTTTCCCAGGGGGAACAGGACAGGTAGTCCCTGGTGGTGGATTGGGTGGTAAGTCGCTAAAGGTTTGGGTTTTTTTTTTCTCTGTCGTTTGTGATAATTCAGCAGCAAGCTTTGTTTGGTTTCTTACAGGTTTTGGAGGTGGTGCTGGAGTCAAACCACCAAAGTATGGTAAGGCTTTTGTTTTGATTACACTCTAGAATAATATGATGAAAATAACACCAATGCAATATGGAGAGAAATACTAAACTGTATTAGCAGCAGTAGATCACACTCCCCTGCTGCAAAGACTTCTAAATTAGGAGGCAGAAATAAGTATAAAACTGCATAAATCCTGCACATTGAGAAATATTTCCTCGGGCATGAATGTATTCTCACTCATTAATCTAACTTCACTTTAGATTTTAATACTTGAACTAATTGTACCACCTGCACTAATGTAGGAGTTCCTGGAGGAGCCGGAACAGGGCTAGGACCTGGAGGAGTTCCTATTGGAGGATCAGGAGTTGCAGGTGGACCGTACTCCCCCGCCGCAAAAGCTGCTAAATACGGTACAGTGAAACGACCACACAAGCATATGAGTGCTGCAAAATATTGGACACATTTCCTTGATGATTCTGAGAGAAAGAGTACAGTTTTCTGTCACTTCAAGCATTTTTCACTTAATCGTTTCTATAAATTTTTATATTGTCTTAGTTGCAAATTAATGATGCAGCTGGTTCTGGTTCTTTTGATTAGGAGTTGGAACTGGAGGTCTACCTGGAGGTACTGCATGAAAACACCAAACAGCCATTGAGTGTGATTATAGAATTCAACTAACATCAAACAATGTCATGATATGAGTATTAATGACATTGTGTTTTTACACAGGATTTCCAGTTGGAGCAAAAGCACCAAAATACGGTAAGGAGAACCTCAAAACTATTATAAAAATCTACATTGTTTTATAATAAAGATGCAAAGATGCAGAAGTTGGTTAAAAGATAAAATACCAAATCACAGCCAATTACAGTCAACTGGAGTAAAGCTTCATCCACCAATGACATCAGGTATCAGGGTCCATGTCATGATGGGAAACAAGTTAGGGTTCTGGCAAATTATAGACAGAATTTGGATGAATTTAAAATGTTGTATCATTGCAGTAGTTCCAGGAGTGACTCCATACACACCTGTCAGTTTTCCAAATGGCTCTGTTGTACCTGGTCAATTAGTTCCTGGAAAACCAGGTAAAGCTTAGAGAACAGCTTCTTGTTTGTTTGTTTGTTTGTTTG